CATGTGAAATTAATGTTATAATCCTATTGTTGCTGCAGTCTTTTGTGTCTCCTTTTTGTTAATTTACAGCTCTAATTGGCCATATTCAACTGAGCATCGTATTTTTGTTCAGTCAAAGTCTCACAATGGTCAGTGAGCCTTACAGACTAATAAACCTTAGCTTGGAATCACAAACTAAAAGCTAATGTCTGCACAACAGAACCTCTACCCTCCTCATTGCAGTCCTGTGGGATTCTGGGAGCTGGTATCCAAAAAATAAATTTTCCTGCACTCTGGATAACCATGGCTTCTCGGCAAATATATTTGAACAGAGGGTTTCTACATGAAATACTGTGGTTTATTCCAGGATGGATTAAGCCTTACAATTTCTACTTTCAGCTCCTTTCAAACTTTATTTTATCATATGTCCCAGACCAGGGAAATTTTGTTTCATACCTTCCTCTCCCAAAATAGCTTATCTTATAAGATTCCCCCCCCCCATTGCCCCAGTTTATTGATTTCATTCACTCAGGTGAGCCAATTCATGAACTTTCACTATATTAAGATAATTTAGCTTCCCAAAAGTGTAGAGGGAGGCCATCATTATGCAAAATCTCATACCTTGCATAATCATCCTAGTTTTGCTGTCTTCAGAACAGCTTTGAAAAAAAATGTAAATGACAGGATGGAATACTGAGGAATCTGGAAATCTGTCAGTCACTCAGTCACAAAACTTTTTTTTTAAGTAATATACATGTGTAGAGTGGTTTCATCTCATTCCTTAGCAAGGTGGGGACTGAGTTCTCTTGAATGTAGAAGAAGAATAGAGGCAATTATGCTTGCCAGTTATATAGTCTGGTAGCTGGCACCTGGTGGGGTGGGAAATGGGGAAAGAGAACAAGAGAAATAGTAAGATAAGTCTCTGCATTGCACATTTAAACAGTATGTATAATCTAGACCTTATCTAACATTGAACTGACACTTGCCTGATAAGTAGGTGAAAATATAGCAATATGAAATTAGGTGGGTACATTCAAGTCAGATGCAGTACTTACATATCTGCTCAAAAGGAATTCTTGGTTCAAGCTGATGTACTGTACTTAGGATATCAGCCTTGTAGGCTTTAGTTGTTCAAAAATGGCACACTTTTTGAGCCAGAGGTTGTGGAAGAAAAAGAGGGATAAAAAGATTTTGTACTGAGTAGTTTTGGTGATGCCTTACTGTTAATAAAATGAAATCAAAGTATATTTGAAAAAATGAAGGGCTGTGGTTTAAAAATCATGTATGAAACCTGATATATCAAAATAGTTAAAAGTTTAATGTAATACATTGTGAGCAATTTATGGGATATTTATTTCCTAGAATAAAATTAAACCAGTTGTATTTTCCAGTGAGTCATGTCTTCTCATGATGTGGCCTAAGTATGACAAATAATGCCCACTTTGGTCATTATGGCTTCTAAGGAGAGCTCAGACCTGATCTGTTCTAGAACCATTTGTTTGACTTTCTAGTAGTCCACGGTATTCTCAGCACTCTTTGCCAGCACCCCATTTAAAAAGAGTTGATTTTCTTTCTGTTCATTTCCCATTCATATCTAGCCACCAATGTTTGCAGTTCCATCTCATATTGTCCTCAGTGACATGGTTGATGGGGAGCATGGAAGAGCAAAGCTTCAGACCTATTTTTACTATATATATATATATATATATATATATATATATATTCCTTTTTATTTATATAAATGTAACAAATAATAAGTAGATAAGCTAGCAGCAACTTTAGTAGTCTTTATTTCTATCCCCTAATACAGGGTTCATTGGGTTTTTTTCCGATGAATTAAATAAAAGAGTAGAAAAACAGTATGCTTTCTACACCAGTGCCATGCCAAGCCATGGAGAACTCCACATGATATTAACTATAATATAGGGACTGATTTTAAAAATTCCCAGGTCTAAGACCAGTCTTCTAAGATAACCATCTTATGAGAAGACAATAGATTTATCCTGGTGGAAGAACATTTTAGAAGCTAGTGGAGCATTTTAAAAACTGGGCACTTTCATGGGTTTGAAATATTGCATTTCTTCCCTGAAATGTAAACATAACGGCCTATAAACCTATCTGGAATGAGACAATCACCATAATTCTTTTAAAAGCAAACAAAGTAGCTTTATAAACCTGTCACTGCTGAAGTTTCAATTGCTTATGCAACATTAGGGAGCTGCATGACTCAAAGTTGTGCAAATGTATACAGTGCCTGTCAATTCATTAAAACAAGCAGCTTTAGAAAGACACTTGAGAAAGTCCTGCCTTTCCCCAACCAGATATAAAGTTTTTACACTGTGTCATTTAAGATGCATGGATTGTTAGTTCTTAATAAATGACAACATTTATTGGACAGACTGTGTAAAGATGATGAAAATAGTCAAAGCAAATATAACATGTTAGAATTTGTGGTTCATCTCTTCCCAATTATTACTAGCTGTACTCTGTTATGACAACAACAATGTCAAGGTAGTGGACAATTATGAATAAATAATAACACATAAAAACACCAAAAACATAGCTTCCTGTTAAAAAGAAGATATAGAAACAAAAAGGTTCTGATTTGAAACTTTGCAGACTGCCAGAAATAGTGCAAATTGAGTCCACCTTTAGGGTTAGGGTTAGTGCTAGGGAATCATGGGAACTGTATTTTTTTCTAAGACATTGAGCCTTCTCTGTCAGAGAGCTCTGGTGCCACAATAAAATACAGTTCCCATGATTCTCTAACCCTAACCCTAACCCTTAAAGTGGACTCAATTTGCACTATTTCTGGCAGTCTGCAAATGCCCTAAGAAGCAAATAAGACAGCCAAAGAGGTTTCTCCATAATCAGTGAAATACAATTCCACATTGCTGCACTTGTTGCAATTCTTGCTGTTGCGCTTTGCATTATTTGTTTTTAAAAATTCTACCCTACCCTGTATCATGAGATCTCAGGGCAGCATACAAGTAAAATGAGTTCAAGCAGATTAAAACAATTTAAAACGATAAAAGTAATTTAAATAGGTGTGTAAAAATAGGAATCACCAAAGACACCCCCTTTGCCTGTTCCCAGGCCTCAGGAGACAAGTCTATGCAGCGGGGGAACAGGTGTTCCTTTGGGTCTGAATTGCAGGAGAGTGGAGGAATGAGAGAAGATTTGTGCAAAGCTGCATTGAGGCTCTTCTTAGCTTTCTGACACCTATAAGATAAGAACTATAAGACAAGAGGAACTTGGGCCCTGTCTGCATGGGCCAAAAGGCCCATCCTCCCATTCTGGTATTGTTCTGTTTGGATGACACACATCCCAAATCCTGGTTCTGGTGTAAGCAGTGCAGATGATGTCTGGTACATTCCACACTAGAACCAAGGTATAACAACCTTAAAGCTTTTTTTTTAAACTTACCTATTGCTCCAGATCTTATAGGAAGAACCAGAGTCCTCTGTTCCTGCACTGCAGTGTCTGTCTGCATGGACATCCCACTGAGCCACCCAGCACATCCGCTGCCACCACCACAGGTTGCTCAATCTGAAGTCAAAATAAGGTGCCTAGTTCAAGATTGGGCACTTTGTTCTGACCTCAGAAGGAGTCAGAAGGCAGTGGTGGATGCGCTAGGCAATTCAGAAAGACACCTGTGCCGACAGCCACTGCAGTGCAGAAGCAGAGGGCCTTGAAGCCAGAATATGAACAAATGGAAAAGACAGACAAGTTAGCAAGGAGAGGACTTGGGGTGATTGATGTGTCTTGGGATATACCTTTTCTTTACTGTTTTTTGTTTTTTGCTTGCTTCTTGGGATTCTAACCTTTGCATTCTATCCTTTCCAGGACTTCACATTCTTAACTACATACTTACCAGGATCCTAACAAGATCTGTATCCCATAGCCACCTACCTATGTACCACTGAAACTCATTCTGCAGCTACTTACCCTGGTGCAGTGGTTATTTTCCCTACCTGAGAAGCCTCTATACTTAGAATAAAGACTATTCTCCCTATATGAGAGGCTCTGGGTGTAGTTGATTGGTCATACATACTTTTTAAAAATATTTTCAAGCTGTAGTTGAATCCATGAATAAAGCATCCATAGAAAGGGAGAGTCGACTGTGCTACATTATGTGCTTTCTACTTCAAGGGATTCCTATTTCATTTAAACCAGTCTAGATTCCAGTTTCCAGAACATGAAAGCCAACTACCCACAAAGCCTCTGTCTTGTCAATAATCAACACCTTTCTGAATGTATTAGGAAGAAAATATTAGACATAAGCCTAAGCTCCATATGTATAAGCACTTTTCACTCTCTTCTCTAAAGGCCAATATTTGATATATAAATGGGTTTCCATTTCATCACAGGGGCTACTTGAATGCTGATCTCTAGTCATATTTCACAGGGACAAGAATTTTAGGTTTAAAATGTTTTTTTAATCTGCATCCTTGAAAATTTCCTCTGGTATACTGTGTGTGTTGATTACCAGAAAGGTGTTGTTGTTTTATCATTTTTATTGAAGGAGGCTTGCTTTGTTGTATCTATTTTTATTATCACAAAATATAAAATAAGTCTCTTGACCTCTTGTTTCTTGCATCGATGAAATATTGAGTCAGTTCCTCGCACTGATACTATTGAAGAAATTTCTCAGTACACCCCAGTATCTATATAAAGATACAATATTTTCAACAAACATCACCTTAGTTCCAACAAACATTAAAAAATACAAGAAACCATGGCATGTAAAAGCAAAACAAGATTTGAATACATTCAAAATGTTTTCAGGCACTGAGATCCTGGATTTTCACATTCATTATCAGGTAATTATTTGTCAGGTCATAAATGCTTTGGGTAAGGGAGGATTACATTTTCTGTAAATATATGCAGTGTTAAAAGAAGGTGCTATTCTCTGGTATTTATTTATTTATGTGCTTGTTTACCACCTACCCTAATTCTTTCCTTTTCATTCTCATTAGACTTTTCCTTCTTATTTGATTAATTCTAACCCATGTGTGAAAGCCTGTGTGGTATAGTGGTTTAAGTTTGGACTACAACTCTGAAAAGCAAGATTCAAATCCCTGCTCGGCCATGGAAACCCAGTGGGTGACCTTGAGCAACACATTCTCTCAGCCTCAGAGGAAGGCAAAGGCAAATCTTTGAATAACTCCTGCTAAGAAAGCCCCATGATAGGGTCACCTTAGGGTTGCCATAAGTTGGAAACAACATAATGCTTGATAAAGTACAAACTGTGCAGTAAACTGCCTATTAAGTACAATATGGAAATAACAGAAACCAGTTTAAAATAATTTTAAAATAATAGATACTTAAGAAACAGTCCTAAGCCAGGGAAAGAAGAATCCTAGCCATGTTTTCCCATTGAGTCCCATTGAGTTTCAGGAAGTTTAATATCAAATAAGGCCACACCCAAAATGATTAAAAAGACCAGGAATTCCCAGTTTTTGTTCCTGTTCTTTTCAATTTTAATTTGAAGACCTAGCAGCTCTTAATGTCCTGTTATTTCAATGCCTTACTACCTTCATGGCTCCTGCATGCACAGCTGTTTTCCTTCTGCTGCCATCATACACACTGGTGTCATTGTGCAAGTGTAGTGGAGCAAGAGAATTCATAGTTAAAAGTTCAGACACTGTGTGTGTGTGAGAGAGAGAGACTTTGGCTGCATCTGCACTGCAGAAATGATCTGGTTTGATACCACTTTCACTGGCATGGCTCAATGCTATGAAGTTCTGAGAAGTGTAGTTTGTTGTGACAGCAGCATAGAGTGCTGGTGCCACAACAAACTAGACTTCCTAGAATTCCATAGCATTAAGCCATTGAGTTGAAGTGATGTCAAACAGCCTCTGTTTAGAAGCAAGACATGAAGCAGCCATTTCCAGAGGCTTTGTTCTTAGCTTTTTTCTTGGGCCTAAGCAGACTGCCAGAAATAGTGCACATTAAATTGAGGCACTGTCCTGGCTCAGGGCTAGGGAATCATGGGAACTGTAATTTATTGTGGCACCAGAGCTCTCTGACAGAGAAGGCTCAATGTCTCAGAAAAAAATACAATTCCCATGACTCCCTAGCACTGAGCCAGGGCAGTGCCTCAATTTAATGTGCACTATTTCTGGCAGTCTGCTTAGGCAGAAAGGCAATTTGATAGAAGCTGCCAACTCAAGAAGTATGGCTCTTAATCTGAAAGGTGAGTAGTGATTAAAACCAGTTCAGCTTGGAATCACTGGGAGAGAAGGTGAGGAAGGGCTTTTTTACTCACTTGAGACACTGGCCCTGCCCATTGCTCCCATGCAGTCTGGGACATGTTCTTCTGGAGCCAATTGAGCCCAAAAAGATTCCCTACTTTTGCCATTCAACAGTAGACCAAAGTGTTATCACATGATATTCCTTACCACCAGGTCAATCTGATGAACTAGGAGAGACATTTTAAAGGTGGCTGTAGTCCAGCATCTGGCTACTGAAGATCCTTATATGATAGATAGGAGGATGCTCAAGTTCACCAAAAGCCATTCTGTTGCTGTTCAGACATGCAAAGTTACATGCATTCTCACCAGAGAAATCTTTCTCTGTGTGTCTATCTGTTTGTCTCTCTCTCTCTCTTTCTCTCTCTCTTACACACACACACACACACACACACACACACTTAATATATAAAAAACCTAAGTTATGCAGAGTCTAATGTTTATCTTATTTAAAAGCCAGCATACCTTTTATAGTGTAATGCTTCAAAAGTGGAAGAAATTTCCTTGCCCTCCATATTATACAAGATAAACCTAACATAAAGAGGAGCCGACATAATTTTCAGCCCTCTTCTCTTTCATCCTCCATCCATTTGTTAAATGTTCTAAATAAACATGGTGATGGTATGCAGTACATTACTGCCTATTCAGTATGATTCTTTGCACATTAAATCTGTCTTTTGGAGAAAAAGAAAAGGTTACCAAGATAAGATGACTCCAAATGGGCTCCCAAAGAAAAACTAGGCAAATGTAAGAAATAGATAAGAAAAAGAGGAACAAAGAAAGCTATTAAGAGAGGAATGAAAGACAAAGAGGGGGGGGGAAGTATACTCTCCTAATATTCTGGCAGTGACAAGAAAGGACTGCAACTACGTGGGAGTTGTATGTTATGTGCCCAAGAAAAACACACTGAAAAAAATATAGCTCACAGATATCTGAAAATCAAAAGAAAGAACCAACGAAAGAAAAGAGAGAGAGAGAATGTTAACAGACCTAATTATAAGCTCTCAAAAATTCTACCTAGGGATGAAGATAGATGATTCCCATCATAAAAGGTAAAAAGAGGCAGGAGGAAGAGGGGGAGGAAAAAAGGAAGAAACACCTGATCTAAGACATTTGTATGTTATTTTGATTTGAGATAGGAAAGTTAGGAGGAAAGAGTTCACATGCTTGATCGTTAATAAACTTTTTTTAAAAGCTAATTCAGTATCTTTTACATTGAGAGGGATACTTTTGATGGGTTTTCTAGTCCAGCCTTGGAGGGTTTTCTAATCTTCCCAAATTGTTTTTGTTTTTGTTGTTGTTGTTGTTGTTGTTGTTGTGGGCAAGCAGAGCATTGCTATGGGGGAAAGAGGATTGCAGGATGTATCATTCCTCTAGAGCAGGGATAGGCAACCTAAGGCCCAGGGGCTGGATGCGGCCCCCTGCGGCCTTTGGACTGGCCCCAGGCCGGTCCTGCCACTGCCACCACCCACTGCCCCCTGCCGCTGCCCTCCATGATGATATTGATTATTGTTGTTATTACTTGTTCTTGGGGTTTTCTTGGCAAAATCTCCACAGGGGTTTTGCCATGGCTTTTCTCGGACTGAGAGAGTGTGCATGCATATTTTTAATTTTTTTTAATTTTTTTTAATTTTATTTTTTATTTTTATTTATATTTATTTATTTATTTATGGTGCTTCAGCCCCCCAATTGTCTGAGGGACAGCAACCCAGCCCCCAGCTCAAAAAGGTTGCCTACTCCTGCTCTAGAGAAAGTTCATAAAGTTCTACCCTATGCAGTCCAATGGTTATTCAACTTACACGGCCACATACCTCATTGTGGCTCATCCTTTTCTAAACTGGCCATTACTTTTTGTACATTACCTGCATTTTTCTCCAGCAACAGAATCTCTTTTTGTCATTGCTGTTGGTATATATCATGGGGAGTCTGTATTATTTCTTCAGTTTTTCTGGAAAATGAAAATGAATCTCTCTCTCTCTGTCTCTCTCTCTCTCATTAAATCTGTCTTTTGGAGAGAGAAAAGAGAGAGAGAGAGAGAGAGAGAGGTGAATGTCCATTTTCTAAGAGTTTTTAAAACAGCTACATCTGGAATGCATAACTTTGGCTAACCTCCGAGAGTATTTCTTTTCTGTTAAACCTAAATTGACATTTTTCCTCATCTTTTATCACGTACCCTCTCAATTTTTGATTCTAACTATTTGCTAACTGCTGACTCTACCACTGAACTGAAACACTATTTTATCGTATATCAATTATATTTCAGTTATTAAATTTACTTTCTCATTTTAATTTTCTGATATGTCTTGATTGATGGAAGACATTTTCATTTGCAAGAGTTCTATTTTCCATATTAATCAATATCTTCAAGTTTGTAGCTGCTCTTCTTGCCAGCAATTACTTCACATTTTATTCTCGTTTGATTTTGCAATTTGTATCCTAATCTTGGGAAAACCTTTTTATGCTATAACCTGATGCAATGTAAAACCACATTTGGTATGATTAATAACAAGGATAATAGTACTGATACTCATACAACAATATTAAGTAACATTTGAGTTTCAGGTCTTACAGAAGCCAAATGGACATTGTTTTCTAATAAAAACAAGTCAGTTTTTAGCACCTTAAAAAGATCAAATTTTGTTTGATAACTTTTGTGGACCACCACCCAAAAATGTGACATTTTCCATTAGATACTTAAACTTTGTGAGATGCTTTCTTCCATTTCTGAGTCAAATAAATTGAGTAAATCACTGTAACAGGATTTGAACATTGTGTTTATTTCTTTATCATTTTTAATAAATATTTCTGTTGACATTAGCCTTGTAGAGTGTAACTGGGAATGCCTATCAAGATGAGACAATTGTCCCAGATTCTTTAAGTGGGTTCTTGTAGCTTTCTTATATTTAGATTTGTACTTTTCAGAAAAATATGCTTTAAACTGCAGTTTTTCCCTTTGTATGATAAATGCCAGTTTTCTCTGGATTAAGAAAGAGAAAGCTTACCAAAACATTATTGGAGGAACATTGTTGTTAGTTGCAACACAATTATAAATGATAAATGGAAAAATTAAAGCATCCAAAAATCAAATGTTCTCCAGAAAATGATTTGACTAGATGGCTAGAAGACCACTTCTTCCCATGTGAAACCTCTCATGAAGATCTTTCTCAGATGCCATTTTGTATGTCACACCAGCAAGCAAGTACATACATCTTCCATTTAGTATGCTTACATCAGGTCCAGACATAACTTGTTAGACTGTGATAGTTAATTGTATTAACATTGGGCAGGGAAGGTATATTGTTGTTTGTAAATATGTGTTAAATCTAAGTTTAAAAGCAAATTAAAAAAACAACAAACAAGTTTATGTTGGTCACACCATGGTACCACTACAAGGTGAAAGGCCATTCCTGGACCACAGTCCTCCAGTAGACCATGGAATGAGTCTCTCAGTGGCAATATAAAACTATGGACTTTTTTTGCTTCTGACTTTTTTTAGTTGGTGATGGGTTGTTCCTCAGATTTTTTTCCTCCACATTGTAGTACATTGTAAATCACACTGGAGTTCTATTTGGGATGAAAGAAAACTTATAAATGCATAATGAATTAAAATATAAATACAAGTACTTTATTCTTAAAAGGGATGCCCCTTCCCGAGAAGGTTATATTTAGTTATGATGAATTTGCTTTACATAAACCTCATTCAAGGCACAGTACCCTCCAAATACTTTGGAACTATAACACTTAAAATATTTGGGACCTCATCATCAAGGCACATCATCAATGAACTACAACCAATTCTGGACAATAATACCACTTTTTCAAGGGCTCTTGGTAGCAA